AGTGGTGATGGTGGGTAGGCCTATGTAAATATTTACTTTTTGAGGCATAATACAAACAGGAGAAATAACCCTAAGATACATCTAATGGAGACATATCTATCTTTGGATGTTAAAAGTCTCTTGAAATGTTGGCCCGGTTGAAGTTCCTTGGTTGATTGCTCCTTTGCTCACTGCCTTTTAAGGATAAGTCTGCCAAGGCTGGAGCTTTCCAGTGCAAAACAGTGTGGCTCACAAATCAAACACTCGGCCACTGTGCAAGTTAACATCTTCACTATAAAACAACCGACTGTGCATAGTGTAAACATCCAGTGTTCATGCACTACAGATTGTATTTAACCATCTGTCGAAGCACAGGCTTCATTTGAACATTTTAATGTTGATATGTAGGCTTAAGCCACTGGCATTTCCTCCAGTTGGCTCCTCTAAAACAAAAAATATATATATAACATTTGTTGCATATGTTACCTTGTTTGTCCATAATTCATTCATGTTTGATCCTCAGGGAGAGCCGAAGAAGGAGAGCCGGAAGCAAGAGTACCTGCGTAAGATGGGCCTGAGCCAAGAGAAGAATACCTCCGCATCTGATAGCAAAGATGGAGGACTTCAGAGGACCCCCTCCACTTCTTCCTTCTCTAAATGTGATGCTAGAATAGAGGACAGGACCCGCAGAGTCACAGAGGGCAGCAAAGATGACCAAGTTGGCCCATCTGCCCTTTCTAGGAAGGACGAGGAGAGTGAGAAGAAAGTAGAGGTGAAGGATCAAAATGATAGGAGTAAATTCAAAGATAGAAGAGAGATGAGAGAAAGTAGTAGCAGCAAAACCAGAGAATTAATATCCAAGCTTCAGGAGAAGAAGGAGGATAGTAAAGAGAAGAATAGAAAGGAAGACAGTTGGAAAAATGACTCTGGGGAAAGTAGAGCAAAGGAGATGATTTCTAGGATAAAGGAGAAAGAGGAGAAGGAAAGGGAGAGAAAGGTAGAGATTAGGAAGAGAGAGGAAAACAAAACTAGAGGCTATTCGTCCAGATTAGAGGAAAAACAAAATCAGGTTCTAGAAGATCAAGTGAAAGAAGAGAAGAAGGACAATGAAGAAAACAAAATAAGAAGGTTAAGTGAAAAGGTGAAAGAGAGCCCCTTGTTGGAAGTAAAGAAACTTCCTGAAAATACAGAGAAAGAACCCGAAAAAGCTGTGAGGAAGACACAAGAATTCAATGAAAAATCAATAATTGATAAGGGAACAGAGGATGTTCAGAAGCAAAATGAAATTGTAAACGAAGTTCATGAACCCATTAAGGAAGAGAAAACTGGAAACTGTGTCTCAGACACTATTTCAAAAAGTAAGACAAAAGAGGAGGAAGAGGAGGATGAGTCAGCCAGCATGTTTGATGAATACCTGGAGAGAGTTCGTCGCAACGATCCAAGCATGACTGACCTCAACGTGAACAATTCTGAGGTCATAAAAACCAAAACGCTTATTCAGTTCTCAGAGGCCCTAAAAACCAACACACACATCAAAGTGTTTTCTTTGGCTAACTGCCGAGCCGATGACCATGTGGCTTATGCTATTGCAGAGACCTTGCGCAATAACAAAAGCATCATTAGCATCAATTTGGACTCCAATCTTCTTACTAGCAAAGGCGTTATGGCCTTGATCCATGCCCTCCAACACAACTCCACCCTCACTGAGTTACGCTTCCACAACCAGCGACACATCATCGGAGGAAAGTCCGAGATGGAGATGACCAAAATCTTGAAAGAAAACACAACTCTTCTGAAATTGGGCTACCACTTTGAGTTAGCTGGGCCTCGTATGACCATGACCAATATTCTGAGTCGCAATATGGACCGTCAGCGGCAAAAGCGGCTGCAGGAACAGAAGCAGGCTCAAGCCCAAGGCACTGGAGACAAGAAAGACTCATTAGAAGTTCCAAAACCTGGCTTTGGTAAAAGCTCCCCGAGAGCTTCGCCCAGGCCGTCTCCTATACCTTCTCCCATACCGTCACCCGCCCCGTCGCCCAAGTTGACTCATAAGAAAAGGGTCAGTGGGCTTGGTGGTGGACCACCTCCTCCACCACCACCACCTGGAGGACCACCACCGCCTCCGCCTCCAATGCTAGACGGAGATTTCCTGAAGAACTCCCTGACACCCGTGTCACAAAGGAAGCTAGACGGTAGGAGTAGTGGAAGAGGAGGAGCTCAAAACTCAAGGGACCAACTTCTGGCTTCCATTAGAGACAGCAATATCAAACAGCTCAAAAAGGTAGGAAATAATTTTTATATATATATATCTCATATATAAATCTACAATATTGCAAGTTACATTTTTGGAATTATCCTAAAACATTACCATGGACTCATTGGGAATTTGGGTCTCATATTCAGAGCTTTTTCCCTGAGAAAATGTTGGACATTTTAACTCACCATTAATCATTTTTTTCGCAGGTTGCATTACCAAAGCTCTTGCAATAATCCAGCAATGCAGAGAGATAGTTATGGGTGAAGAAAAAGACAGGAATGAAAGGACAGACATCTCACAGACCTTGAGAAGATCATTACTCAGAATCTTCCATACAGAGTCTTACTGCTGCCCTATAGTATGGAAGACATGCAAGGACTCATATATAATTGAATGCACAACTTCTTCTACCCAGGAGTCTTTGTACAAAATACACTGGACGATAGAAAGAAATGAAAGTGTTGGGCAGTCATGGGTGCTCAGAGTCTTCAGTGGCCTATGGAATGGTGGGGTTGATTCCTTGCTTGTCATTTGCACTAAATTAATCATTTCATATGATAGATTTACAACAGTATGTGTGGATGTTCAGAAGATGTTTGTTTCTGCAGTAGAATTGGATCTTCTTACAGCTGACTGAATTGAGCTATGTAAGAAACAATAATTGTCTGTATTTTATTCCAATTATTATGGGTTTGGGAATCTCTTTAGTAAAAGCTCTTGCTGATCAGGGAATAAAGGTGGGATTCTAAACAATCACAAATAAAGGTATAGTTTCCATGGTACTACAGATTTTTCAATACCTTGTTTTGAATGATTGATTTTGAAAGAGAACAGGATTACAGCATTCAAGAGAAAGCGATGGATAATCCGATCTATGTGAATATGACTGCCTAAACATACAATATTTATTTTGATCTGAGTTTTCCTTTAACATTGTATGTAATCCTTTGAGTATATAAATGTTGATCACTGTCAAGTGTAATTTTTACCATCCATTTGTAATTTATAAAAAAAAAACTTTAAAATGTAGCAAGTTTTTACTTTGGGAATGGAAGCAATCTCTGCACAAAAAAGGGTAATGTACCTTACATGCTTTGAAGACAATATATTTTCATGCTTGTATGAAAGTCTCTTCAAGAGCACATCTAGTGAAGGCTACATGTATTCTTAATGAAAATAAACAGTATGAAACATAAATTCACAAATCTGATTTCAGGTTTCAATGTGGGAAATCAAGTTGAGTAATTCAATGTGTGTTATTTAGAAAATAAAATTTGTTTTGGACGAATCTGATGGATAAAGATATGATTGGTCCAACAAACACACCTGGTCATGTGATTTTACTTTATTATTTTCAGGTCATTGTCAGAAAAATATCAGAACCCTCTTCATGTGTGTTTCATTATTTTATTTTATTTCAGTTTTATTTCATACCTGAAAGTAGTTTTAGTTGTAGTTATCACTGGTGTGTTTACATCAAGACAAACTCCACCCAAAAATGTAAATTCTGTCATATTTTCTTATATGCTCCACTGATGAAAGAACTAGTTTTGTAATGAGTAAATGACGGAGTGAGTAAATGATGACTTTTCCATAGTAATCCAGGGTCATATAACCTAAAACAATACTAAGTAACTGAATTAATCTTTTTAGTTTCCTAGTCATTTTATGAGGATATAAAACGCAGTCAAAGTGTTAGAGATCAGAACCATAGATAGAATTAATGATTCTGGTGTTAGTGAATAGCTCTTCACATGATCACACAGATCCTAATAAAGGGCTGTATAGCACGCTTCCAGAGCTACAATGAGTTCCTAGAAAAAGTCAGTGATCTTATGCATTGTTGCAAATTCCACGTAATTCTGCTTAGCTCATTTGTTCACTAGAATAAAGAACTATACATGAAGGCTATGTAGGACACAGGAACACACTATTTATCGTTAAGGCCACTTGTGAGGTAACAATGCAAATTACATCCAACTGGGTCACAGGTTAAACATTTAAAAATCTTTTCTTGTAGAATTATACTCTTCAAATTTATAGCAGATGCTTATTGCAATGTATAGATTACTTCATAGATTAACTTCGTAACTGCTGGATTGCAAAGGTCTGTTCATCATTTTCAGAGCCTTTTAGAAGTGAACTTCTCCTTCAGAGTTTGAAAGTTGATTGGAATCGAAGCAAGCTAGTTTATATTTTGATTGCCCCAAACTAACCCTCAGCACTGCTGAAATGTCTATATTTGGTAATTTCTCAATGCAGGCTCAGTCTGCATCTCATTCCTTTCCCCTTCCTAATAATGGAAACATCCAACAGCCTGTCAGACTCAGAGCAATGACTTAAAGGCGACATGAGGGAGAGAGAGAGATTCTTGAGTTATGTTTTAATGTAGAGCCATCTAATTCATAGTGTTGCTCCAACTCCCCATTAAAAAAGCTCTACTATAAAGGACATAAGCTCAGTTTATTAGCCACTTGACAACTTCCATTTCAAAATAAAACATGGTAATTGTGAGATGCTAAAGTTTTTCAGGAGTAATTGTAATATATAATCTCAATTACAAGACAAAATGAGCAATAGCCAAATTTAAAAGCACAATTAGCCTAGGCCTACAGCAGGGGTGCCCAAACTCAGTCCTGGAGGGCCGATGTCCTGCAGAGTTTAGATCCAACCCCAATTAGACACACCTGAACCAGCTAATCAAGCTCTTACTAGGCATACTAGAAACTTCCAGGCAGGTGTGTTGAGGCAAGTTGGAGCTAAACTCTGCAGGACACCGGCCCTCCAGGACCGAGTTTGGGCACCCCTGGCCTACAGCTAGACCTACTACATTTGTTTAATCCCTGGTGAAAACAATGTGTGGGGGCCATCATAGCCTCTGGACCAGATGGAGTTCACGCATTTTGGATAGCTCTGCTTAATATCTCACTGTCAATGGTTGCAGTTGGTAGAAATGCTGCCACTAGAGGGGCCTCTATACAACGATCACAAAGAAAGAGACAGCAAAAGAACACGCGAATAACCTGACGTCACCCGCAGCAACAGCACGTGTTTGATTACGTCAGTGCGAACAGGAAAAGAATAAAATGGAGGAGTACGCGAGGGAACCATGGTGAGCTGACGGCTTCAAACAACTTATTGTTTTATATATTTTAAATATTTATATTTTTGTTGGTATAGCTGTTAAAATACTCTTTATTATTTATGCGGTCTTAGTAATTGTCAAGCCGTTTGATGTTCGAATGATCGCGATATGGTCGGTTTGATAAGCGCTGCTGAACGCGATGTCCTTCAGTGCAGGGCAGGCTTCATGCTGTCAGTCATGCACATGACCTTGTTCTGCCGGCATCCGTGATCAGTTGATTTTGTTTTTATATTTTGTTTACTAACAATATCTATTGTTTAAATGTTTAAACTATTAAAAACAGAATATATAAAATATCTATTAACACATGGTCAGTGGGATCTGAAGATCAACCGGCTAGGAGTAAGAAGTGAAATAAATGGTGTGTGTATTGAATGTGCACTTGAAGTGTACTTCAAACCTTTATTAGATATATAGATATATATATATATATAGATATATATATATATATATATATATATATATATATATATATACACTCGTTTCTGTAACGTTTATTGTGATGCTTCCTCGAGTAGGATTTAATTTAACAAAAATGAATAAGAAGTCATTTTAGAGGTGTTCCATGGTAATACCATGTTGTTGTTGTTTTTAAACCGTGTTTACCAGAGTACTTCTTTGCCAGGGTTGTTAGTAGGAGAGATGATCTTTATGTACTATTATCGTTCTCATCATGACATCTGGTTTCTTAGCCCCTGGAGGATAGTGGATGACTGTGGGGGCGCCTTCACCATGGGGGCCATAGGTGGTGGGATCTTTCAGGCCGTCAAAGGCTTTAGAAACTCTCCTTCTGTGAGTGATTCTTCCAGCTGCTGATACAGTGATGCTGTTTTGTTTTAAGTTAACTGCATGTAGTACTTCTTGGCTCCAATATGATGTCGTTGTTTTTTGTTTTTCTTCTCTTCCTCCACAACTAGGAGGTAATGTAAAGTTCAACGGTTATCTATCACATGATTGCGACATGGATGCAGAATGATACACTCTGGAAAAACTGAAAAGTTTGGTGTCAGTAAGACCGTCAAAGGCTTTAGAAACTCTCCTTCTGTGAGTGATTCTTCCAGCTGCTGATACAGTGATGCTGTTTTGTTTTAAGTTAACTGCATGTAGTACTTCTTGGCTCCAATATGATGTCGTTGTTTTTTGTTTTTCTTCTCTTCAGGGAATTAATCACAGAATGAGGGGTAGCTTGACAGCCATAAGGACCAGAGCTCCACAACTAGGAGGTAATGTAAAGTTCAACGGTTATCTATCACATGATTGTGACATGGATGCAGAATGATACACTCTGGAAAAACTGAAAAGTTTGGTGTCAGTAAGATCATGATTGCGACATGGATGCAGAATGATACACTCTGGAAAAACTGAAAAGTTTGGTGTCAGTAAGATTTTTTTTTTGTGGTTTTGAAAGCCAAACGGAATTATTTGTACAAAAATACAGTAAAAATAGTAATACTGTGAAATATTATTACAGTTATAAAATATATATAATTTTATTTGGATATTTTCAGCAGCCATTAGTTTAGTCTTTTAGTGTCACATGATCCCTCAGAAATCATTCTAATATGCTGATTTGGTGCTCAAAAACATTTCTTCTTATCAATGTTGGAAACGATTGCACTGCTTAATATTTTTGTAGAGACTGTGATACATTTTTTTCAGAAATCTTTGATGAATGGAGATGCGTTTATTTATTTGAAAGCTTTATTTATCTTTGTAACATTATAACATTTTAAATGTATTTACTCAAATATTTTTTTTAAGTTCATGCGTCCTTGCTGTATAAAAATTAATTTCTTAAAAAGAATCTTGCTGACCCCAAACTTTTGAAAAGTTTTATTTTTTTAAATTATTTTTTACATTGTCTGCATCACACATCTTGGCTTTACTTTAAAAGATATTACAAAATACAAATGTTTGTCAAATGTTCATGATTATTAGGAAGCTTTGCTGTGTGGGGTGGCCTCTTCTCCATGATTGATTGTGGGCTGGTCAAGGTGAGGGGCAAAGAAGACCCCTGGAACTCAATCACAAGTGGAGCCATGACAGGAGCCATTTTAGCAGCAAGAAGTAAGTCAAATCCCAAAGAAATGTGGATAATGTTGTGGTCAAGTGAGTTAGGTGCTAAATCATGCCAGTTTATAAATATGACCCCTTCAGTGGCCATGGTTGGCTCTGCTGCAATGGGAGGTATATTGCTTGCATTAATAGAAGGTGCGGGAATTCTGCTCACGAGGTTCGCTTCAGCCCAATTCCCAACTGGTAAGTGTGCAAAGTTATCCTCTGAAACGGAGTAAAACTTTTACAAATGCAAATAGTCATAAGAACAAAGAAACCAACATCATCTTTTTTCTACAGGCCCACAGTTTGCAGAAGAACCCGCTCCCATGCCTGCTTCATCATTCGGAGACTATAGACAGTTCCAATGAGAAGCCCTTTAAAACTCAAGGCCTTTTCTTATTCCATGAACTCATCTAAGACACTGAAGTTACAGTGTGGATCTCATTCATTAGCAGAGCATGCCACCAACCACGAATGACTGTGACAAAGGGAATATGAAGGGCAAACACTACTGTTCCTGTCCTTGCGTTTGGCTTTAGTATGCCTTTTGCTATTCTCAGCTTTGTCATTGGCCTATGGGTCACCCTATTTAAGTCAAAACTCAGTTCTATGTTTTCATCCACATATTCCCTGTTTTTGTTTTCTGTGAACTCATTTTTTGCTAACACAGCTGGAAATGTTTGCTGAAGCAATAGGTGTACTATTTAAGTCATGCTAGGTTGTTCGAGTTGAGCCCCAATCAATTGGCTATATGAAGTGTTTGTTGCATGTGTGTGTGAATGTGTTAATACCATTGTGTGTGTGTGCGTGCGTGCATGCGTGCGTGTGTGCGTGTGTGTGTGTGCGCGCATAAGAGTTTAATACATGCCTGACTGCCTGTGCACTGATCGTTTGCCTTAATGTAAACTTTCTCATGGGCCTCAACAAGGTCGTATTTACTTATTGGAGATTTTTATTGACTGTTCCATGCCAAACCTTCTCTTGCAGAATATATTCCTTCACAGTTTACGTTTTGAAGTAGCTATTTATTTTATAGAAGTAAAACATCCTTGTTTCAAGATGTTATGCTGTATTGTACTTTAAATATTTCTCTACAGTGAATGTTAGGATCACAAAGGATGCATCAGGAAAAAAAACGTTTATGAATGGACAGAATTAATAGTCTCTTCTGGTGGATATATGAGCCAAATTAGGCTGAGAAACATCATAAATAAACTATAGTTATTACTACTATGGCGGTCCCTGTCTGAAAATCATGAGATGTTATTTCCCATTGAATATGGTAATTGCTTGTCTGTAGTAGTTATATTATGCAGACAGGATTAGCATAATATCCATTAAAATAAAAAAAGGTAGTAATATTGTCCACTAGAGGGAGGTATAGATTTAAAGTGATGCACAGAAATTGTCAAGTTGAAACAAGAAATAGCCTATATATGGAGATGGAAAGAAAAATGTGTAACACATAAATTAAATACATTAGTTGTAACGAGAAATGTAATTTTCATTGAGCTTTTGAGAATTAAAAAAAAAAACTAAAAAAGAACACATCTCAAATAGACGAAACTGCAAAAATACCTACATTTCTGAAATGTCCTGACGTCAGAAAAACATTTATACATCAAGGACAGCTTGTATATTTTCTTTTTAAACATATATTTTAAAACAGCATTTGGATTTAGCTATGAACTGTAAATTGCGCGATTATATGGTTCTAGAGAACATTTGATTGGATAAGTCATCAATTTTTGGGAGAATTTTAAACATTTAAACTACTGAAAGTTACTTTGTCAATGTTTACAAGTACACCAGGGGCCTGTTTCATAAAACAAGTTTACCAAATAAGCCAGGTTTATTTCATTTAGTCTGACTTATTGTCTGGCTTATTTGGTAAACTTGTTTTATGGAACAGGCCCCAGCAGATTGTTTCACCACATTGACCAAAAGCCACAAAACAACACTATCCCGTTTTAATATACACTATATTGACAAACGTATTGGGACACCCCCTTCTAATGAACAGTTTTAACCACTTTAGCAATTTCCATGAGTACAAATCCACTGATATTAAATGAGCAAAAGTCGATGTTGATGTTCATTACGCAAGACTAAGCAATCATTTTTGTCCCGCCTAGAGGCCCGGCTTTCTTATGCGATGATTAGACACAATCTGGTTTTGCGACAACCGATTGAAACGGTGATGTGATTGACAGTGCACCTAAAAACACCGTTCTACACGGTGTAGGCCTATGTGGGAACGGACTCACAGTTAAGTGAATGGCTGTTGTGGCTTGTAAAAGGCTTTTAATTTGATTAGTTGACTAGTTTGTATGGGAAAAAAGTTGTTTGGAGTTCTGGAATAACCAATGTTTTTTTTGTTGTTCGTCAATGCTAATGACAGGCGTTACTCTTTTACACTAGGTGAAAAATATTGATTTGGAGTGGTGGGGGTTACTTCTATGAATTAGAATACTTATTAACATACGGAAACTATGTTGTTAAATTAAGAAACGGTCACAAATGTGTTGAACTGTTATTGTTGAGAGAAAATTCAGTGTGTTTAATCATTTTAATTCTCTTTGCATGTTGCTTGACAAAAAGCATTCTAGCAGACAAATGTGTTCCTTTGAAAATTGGAATGAAAATCTGTTTTCATTGGTTTTGTTGTGTTTCATGTCATTAAGTTTTCTGCTTCTGTGTCTTTTTAGCCTTGCTGTTTTATGAGAAAGTAATTTTCTTTGACCTTTTGCCTCGGTATTCAGAGGTCCAAGTGGTTTGGCTTGACTTCTGATTTTTGCTCCAATCCGTCTCATTCAGTAAAAGCCATTAAAATAAAAAAAGGTAGTAATATTGTCCACTAGAGGGAGGTATAGATTTAAAGTGATGCACAGAAATTGTCAAGTTGAAACAAGAAATAGCCTATATATGGAGATGGAAAGAAAAATGTGTAACACATAAATTAAATACATTAGTTGTAACGAGAAATGCAATTTTCATTGAGCTTTTGAGAATTAAAAAAAAAAACTAAAAAAGAACACATCCCAAATAGACGAAACTGCAAAAATACCTACATTTCTGAAACGTCCTGACGTCAGAAAAACATTTATACATCAAGGACAGCTTGTATATTTTCTTTTTAAACATATATTTTAAAACAGCATTTGGATTTAGCTATGAACTGTAAATTGCGCGATTATATGGTTCTAGAGAACATTTGATTGGATAAGTCATCAATTTTTGGGAGAATTTTAAACATTTAAACTACTGAAAGTTACTTTGTCAATGTTTACAAGTACACCAGGGGCCTGTTTCATAAAACAAGTTTACCAAATAAGCCAGGTTTATTTCATTTAGTCTGACTTATTGTCTGGCTTATTTGGTAAACTTGTTTTATGGAACAGGCCCCAGCAGATTGTTTCACCACATTGACCAAAAGCCACAAAACAACACTATCCCGTTTTAATATACACTATATTGACAAACGTATTGGGACACCCCCTTCTAATGAACAGTTTTAACCACTTTAGCAATTTCCATGAGTACAAATCCACTGATATTAAATGAGCAAAAGTCGATGTTGATGTTCATTACGCAAGACTAAGCAATCATTTTTGTCCCGCCTAGAGGCCCGGCTTTCTTATGCGATGATTAGACACAATCTGGTTTTGCGACAACCGATTGAAACGGTGATGTGATTGACAGTGCACCTAAAAACACCGTTCTACACGGTGTAGGCCTACGTGGGAACGGACTCACAGTTAAGTGAATGGCTGTTGTGGCTTGTAAAAGGCTTTTAATTTGATTAGTTGACTAGTTTGTATGGGAAAAAAGTTGTTTGGAGTTCTGGAATAACCAATGTTTTTTTTGTTGTTCGTCAATGCTAATGACAGGCGTTACTCTTTTACACTAGGTGAAAAATATTGATTTGGAGTGGTGGGGGTTACTTCTATGAATTAGAATACTTATTAACATACGGAAACTATGTTGTTAAATTAAGAAACGGTCACAAATGTGTTGAACTGTTATTGTTGAGAGAAAATTCAGTGTGTTTAATCATTTTAATTCTCTTTGCATGTTGCTTGACAAAAAGCATTCTAGCAGACAAATGTGTTCCTTTGAAAATTGGAATGAAAATCTGTTTTCATTGGTTTTGTTGTGTTTCATGTCATTAAGTTTTCTGCTTCTGTGTCTTTTTAGCCTTGCTGTTTTATGAGAAAGTAATTTTCTTTGACCTTTTGCCTCGGCATTCACAGGTCCAAGTGGTTTGGCTTGACTTCTGATTTTTGCTCCAATCCGTCTCATTCAGTAAAAGCATGTCTCCTATAAAAAGCCCAGGCGCTTTACCTCACGCTGCCTCATCCTGCTTGCATGCAAGTTTGTTTGAAGACAGCAGCAATCAGAAGGAAGGTCAGCTTGTGGTGCAAACAACTCATTAATAATTTAAGGCAGCAAACATGACTGGTTGCTAATCTACATAGCTCCTAAAAAGTGCTGTGATTATTAATTCAGGCCTTTTGAAGGCACTGTGGGAGCATAGCATTCTTGATTGTATACAAGAGCAATGAACAAGCTCTGGCCAGGCACTCAAGATGTTTGGTGAAAGACTCCAAAACGTTCTGTGTTGCTGGAGATGTGGTTTGTCTGAATGAGGACGAGAGAGCGCATGTGGCATTTTAATTTATAGGTAAATGCTTACAGAATGACGTGTAGATGCTAATGCAACAATCTCAGACCTATTTGTCCATCTATGAGCACCATAGAGTAACAAGCAATCAAAGAGACTTTTAATTAGATGCTTTTCTCACTTGAGGCCATATGCTTTACCACCAGAGGCACACTAACTAGCTGCTGTTATTTACTGAGCTGCATGGTATCAATGTTTGAAACTGACTGAAGCTAGATATATAAGCAATTTATAAATGAGAATACCTTTTCTTTTAAATGATTTAAAATGGTGTACAGATAATAAATAAATATATATATATATATATATATATATTAGTATTGTGTGTGTATTATTTAATAATTTCGAGTCATGTTTTCCAAAAATTCTATAACAAAGAAAATGTTACAGAACAATTGAATGAATGAATTCATTTTTTTCCCCTTAAATTTAAGTAACAGGGCAACATATCAGCTGGGTTATAATTTATTGATTAGAAAAGTATGGCCTGGTTTCACAGACAGGGTTTAGACTAAGCCAGGATTAGGCCATAGTTCAATTAGGACATTTAAGTAATTTTTTATAAATGTGCCTTACAAAAAACATTACTGGTGTCCCTCTTGGGACAAAACAAAGGCATTGATATATTTTAAGATCAATCAGTACAAGTTTCTTTCAGTTGAAACTGCTCAGACTTACATTTTAGTCTGGGACTATAGGATTAAGCCTTGTCTGTGCAACCGGGGGTAAATATACTGCTATATATGTGAATGATCAAACTTTCTTGGAATTCTGCTTGTGATTAATTGAGGTTTACCTGAGATAATTGAATTCAGCTGATTGTCTTTAATTGTTGACCTACTTAAAAAGGGTGAATGTTGTTTGTTAAGATGTTTTTGTAGACTTTTTAGTCTTGAGTGGATCAGTGTGCGGTTAGCCACCCTCTTGCTCATTTTCAAATATCCTACTGGCTCTACGCACTTGTAGTGCAAGGAACTATTTTCTCAAGTTTTACTTGATTAGAAAAGTAAAAAGAGAATATATTTATTATTTGTCTTTACCAAAGCATTATGTATTTGATAGTTTGTATATTGAGAATATTAATATTTTAATTTAAAAAACTAATATTTCTTTTATAAATTCAAAGTTAATTCATTTTAACATAATTGGACGAAGTTTAATTTAGTCAAATGTGCCCTAAAGAATCTAAACAATCACACTTATATTACTTGTTAAATATTGCCTAATTGATAGGCGAATCATAAATAATGATCATAAAACATCACAGGTGTGACTATTGTTTTATTGTTCTTCAGTGGATGAATCAAGCTTTTTATTTGCATAAAAGACTGTTAAGTGTTAATGGTGAAACACTCATATCTCTGAGCAGCTCAGTGAGGCATTTTTGTCCAGTTGTAACCAATGAATGCATAAATCTACCCTGTTAAATGTTCTCCTTGTTTTCATCACTCTCCTGCTCTGTCCTCCACTACTGCCTGGAGAATTACAGATCATTTTTAGAAGTGAGGCTTGCAGGCAATTGCATGGCATAAACAGCAGTTCATAAATGTCATATTAACTATTTATGTGAATAATCAGAGTCTGCCATGTGAACAGTGGCAAGTGGAATAAATAAGATGGAATACATTACAACATGACAGCATGATGTACAATAGACATTATCACTGTTGGTGATAATGACCCTCAGATGTTTGGTGGAATGCTGTGCATTTAATGAGGTCTTGGTATGCAGAGGCTTATGTAACACAACTTTTGGAAGTGACTGCATTCACTTGTGTCATGCTGACACACAAGAGTTTTGCTTATAAAAAATAATCAAAGAAATATTTCAGGTCAGCTCGACCGACAACTTTTGTGGCATAATGTTGGTTACCAGAAGAAATCAATTTGACTCGTCCTTTATTTCTTTTAAAAAGCAAAAATCAAGGTTGCAGTGAGGCACTTACAATGGAAGTTAATAGGGCTGATTTTTACAGGCTTTAAAAATAGAAATGTGTGTAAATTAGTCGAAATTTTATTACATGATTTTTTCAACTGTATTATTTGAGATTATTTTTACATTCAATTTAAAGTTAAGGCTGCTAAGTTGTAAAAGTGTTTTTAATTTAAGTAACCATACTTAATATTTTTCCTTGTGATTTCTAAATTGCCTAAATTGTATGGGTTTTCCTATTGTTTTCATACTTGCTGATGGTAATGACTGAAAAATAGTTTGACCAATAGCATGCAGGCATTGTACATAATCGATCAATCATGGCGTGAGAGAAGGTGGGGTCTACAGAGAACGATAAAAGCAATACATGTTAATAGGAAAACAAAGCCAAAAAGAAAATAATTTTTCGTGGTAATTAACATTGTTTATTATGTCTTTTACTGAACCCGGGATTATTCCTTTAAATTTCAATTGGATTAACTGTCAGAATGAGTTTACTGCTATTCCATAACTCGCTATACATCAAGCCATAAGAGGAACCCGGGTAGTAGATGGTGGAACATTGGGTAGTAAATCAGCATGCCACTCAAACCTCTGTGTTGTCGCTCAATATTTAAGACACCAACATTCAAATCCATTGTAACGGGCTCCTTCCCTAAGGTAGCCATGGTGATCACAAGGGCATCGACCGATGGATAGAGACGCTCTTTGAGCCGTCAGGAATAAAAGAGGAGCAGTTTTGAAGAGGCAGTGTGGGGTGATGGAGGAGGGATTCAGGCCCGAACAAAATAAAATGCCCATAGAGAATGGATTGCTTTCAGAGGTAGAGAGGGGTTGGTCTAATTTGCACAAAGTCTTCTCCTTCTCAAACCAGAGCTGACAGCAGACGTTTTTATCAGTGAGGAACACACTGCATGGAGAGAAACACATTCATTTCAATGAAGTCCTTGCCAAGGACAATGGCCCAGCAGGATGGAACATTGCCGTCCTTTTCGGAAAATCAGAGTAAACATTATTCCGCCTTATTTGTTTGCCAAGCAAACAACCGTGTCCACGGGAACTAAACGTGGCTTTTAGAAGAAGACCAGTGTTGTTCAAAATGCAGGTGGAACTGTTTTTTTATTGATGGCTTTTATGTACAAGCCTTTCTTAGTTCAGGAAGTTCACTGTCAGACAAAAGGTTGAACACATCTACTCGTTTATTATTATTACTTCTGTATTTTTCTTGTACGTTCTTTCATGCATCTTCATGGTACTCAAAATGAATGCTTTTTGAACAGTATTGAAGGACTTCTGGGCCTGCTTTTTATTAATTCGGTCAATAAACTATAATAAAACCTCTTATAAAAGCAAATCAATCGTTTTATTTTAGAATATAATATTTTATATGTTTTATTAATGTTTTAGAATCTTTTTTTATTTTACAATAACATGTATTTTATGTTAAAATGAAATATTTTGTTATAAAATGAAATGAGATTTAAAGGTCTCTTATGTCTCTATGATAGAGACGTAAAATATACAAATGTTATAAGACTTTAGATCAAAAGTTTTATGGGAAACATTTTAGTCAGGTGTGTTCAAACCTTTGACTGGTAGTTTGTTTTCAACTAATAAACCCAAAACATCTTTTCCAACCCTACTTGGTGGAGGCCTCACATATTTGTGTGAAATCCGGTTATTGATTACCGCTATGGAGAAAAGTACAACAAACCATGTCCTCAGGAGGAATGACATCAGTGACACCTGTTCACCTCTGCATCTCTATGCTGAGACGGGCCAAAATCTCACAGGATCTGAATCCAGACATCTCATTCCTCCTGGGAGAACATGCATTAATAATTCATGCCTTTCTATTCAGTGATGAGTGTGTGTGTGTGTGTGTGTGTGTGTCTTCACGTCATCTCCTCTTTAGAACAACATGTTTGTCTCAGGGGCTGTTCCAGCTGCTCATCTCACTGACTATTGTGTCTCTTTCTTCATTAAATCTGTGATCAGAAGTGACAATTAGTGACTGATGTGTGATTTTAATCACCTGCAAGGCAGTTCAGCCGCAGCTTGGACACTAAATCCACATGCATTTGGGCAGATTCAATTTCAAATCCAAGTGAAACCAG